ACCATTTCACATACTCGTCGATTATTATGAAACTGAGAGGTAAAGTGTGAACTTTTCATGACGCCCTTCGTTATCTCGCCCATGTAGCTAAGGTTAAATGAATTTCGTGTTCGACGGTAAATGTGTTTTTTCTAGTAGTACATCTTTTTTTCCTTTTAAAAGTCTAGGTGATGGTGCTTCTTAGGAAGTTTGATGAAAATGGAGATCTACTAGAGCCTAGAATATGTGAGGAAAGACATACAATGTAGAATCATTGTTTATAGAACTCAAGGCGACATGATGGCAAAGTCGATTACAAACTTCTTGAGTTAGGGATGTTGAGGAGTTACGATAGTAGTTTTAATTTTAACAAGATTGATGATAGTGACTTTTTTTACCTCTTCTTTTTCAGAATAGACGATATAGTTGATGGCGAGTGCAAATTCTACTCTCTTTAGTAGCAGAGTTGAAACATTGATTTTGTTTTCAAAGTGCGACCTAGGTGGCTTCATTTTGTAAATATATGTTCATATCCTCTACGAGATATGAAGGTGATGTTCTCCTAGGGCCCTATGTTGAAGGAGAAATGTTGTAGAGGGCATGGAAATGATTTTTTTTATATGTACACATGTGTTATTATCAACATCGGAGTGAAAGTCTTGTTTACCATGCCTGAGTCCAAGGTTTTACAAATTGTCAATGACAAGAGAATTTTGGTTTCCATAAGTGCCTTTTTCAGTAGGGCTGTATTTAATTTGTACTTATCTAACAATAGGAATTGGAATGATAAGTTTATACGAGTATAGTGTAGTGAGGAGTTCTCGATGGTCATATTTGAAGAGAACTCCGAGTACCAATTTCCTTTATTTTGGACAAGTGGTCATGTGTTGATCAACATATTCAATTACGCTAAACTTAGAGAGATGTAAAAAAATGCCATTGATTTTTTAGGGGCGCTTTATGATGAGGGTAATAAATAACTCAATGAGTATTTATGTATGCATGTTTTATCTAATATATCGTTTTTATTGAATTTTTGACTTTGTTGCAGAGATGATGACTTCATTGTCAGTTTTGGAGAAGAAAGCTTTGCTAGAGAGGAAGAGATCTCAACAAGGCGAGGTGGGGTTTGCGAATTAAAAGAGTGACCCCTCCAAATTGTTAGCACAATGTATATAAAATGGAAACATTGGACTCATATTGTGAAGTCAGCCTTTCTTGGTGAGGCTGCCAAAGGGAAAAATCATATTGATATGGAGGCAGACGCTTTAATAAATTTGGAAGACAAGAAACCTCAAGGTAGAAACAAGATCACTTCCCAATAGGGAGCACCCTCTTTGGCATCTTTCCAAATGATTTTGATGGAGTAGGTTTTATACACAATCATCTCAATCTCCTATGCAACTTTAAAAATTCCAAAAAGATAGGTGTGAAGCAATTGTTCGATATAGTTGGGGCTTACCACCTAAAGAGTGTTCTTATGAAGCAGATAATGTTCGAGGAATATGACTAGGTAGAAAAATATACAAAATACTTAACACGGAACAAAATGCTTTGCTAGAATCAGTGAACAAGAAATTGTCCTCTTTGGAAACAGATCATCAAAATTTTTCATATTGGCCAAAAAAATTTAAGGCTTATAAGAGGGGGAATTAGAAGGCATTCTAGAAGTAGGACAAAGATCCAGATATCTGAGATTCTCAACCTAAAAATAACATTGATGATGATTCCACTATTAAGGTTATATTACAAAATGATTTGGATGATTCTTGTGCAGAGAGAGTTCTCACGAGTGACCAAGCTTTTGAAAAGGAAAAAAAAGGAGATACAAGTATTATATACCAAATAGGATTTGAGTGAGCTTGATCAAATCAAGGTGGTTGAAGAAGAGAACAAACCCAAAGAATATGATACTCCCCCTCTTAAGGAAATAAATAATGATGTTTCCCATGTTATTAATGGTGAAGTCATAACCACTCCTAAAGAAGGCGATCCCACCCAGCCTAAAAATAAATTTTTAATTTGTGTATTATTTTATTTCTTTCTTGAATCATTTATGCAATAACACCCTTTGAAGGGGCTTTAACTAACAAATTCTCGCCTTTTTTAGGGTATTTTAATTAATGGAATTTTATGATTACGTTTAGGGATTTGTTCTCCCTTCAATTTTTTATATATATTTTAAATATTCCTGAGATTTTTATGGTTGTGGGCAAGTCATGCTCACGTACATTTGTTTTAGAAAAGAAAATTTTTTAATAAGACAAAAAATTCCTCTTAGGGCCTAATTTTACCCAGAGCGCATGATGATACCTCAAAGGGTACAATGATATCCTCGATGGTGCAACAATCACTACAAGAAATTTGACATTTATCAACGGCGAAAATCCGTTGGTAAAGTTCCAAAAACCGATGGTATAGTTAAAAAAACATATACCAATGGACGTTTGCTTTCGTCAAGTACAATTCCCTATAACAACAACAATTTTCCATCCCAATATCTTATACCAACATCAATTTTCAAGTGTTGGACAAAATTTTGGGGCTATAACAACGACTAATTATACTAGTTAATAACTTTTGCAGCCACATGTTTCTGTTGGTATAGGACAAAATTAGTTGTTGGTACATGTCTTTTTTTTTTTACAAATATTTTTTTTCAATAATTAATTATTTTTATTTTTATTTTTTATTTTTAATAATTAATATGTTTTTTAATAATCAAATTTTGACAATACTTTCTATATGCACTACACAAAATTTAAATCAACATCAAATCAAATTTCAATTATAGTACCAAAATATCAAATCCTACAAACATATCAAAATAACAATGTAACGTCAATTATATAATAACAACTATCAAAATAGATACTACGATGAAAAAAAACATAAAACATATATAAGATAAAATCAGTTTCTAATCTTCCTCTCTTCCATCTTCATCAGTGCATGGATTTCGAGAATTTGTCTGATTTGGGGCACTAGAAGCATTTGTAGCCTATTGGAAATAAAATAAAATAAGTTACAAATTCAACTTAATAAATATTTTCTTAATATTCGAAATATGAACTCGGTGAGTAAAATATAATATATGTGTCTTGCAGTTAGTAAAATAACATTCAAATCTTCTAGAGATAATCGATTTTGTATCACTGACATCATGTTTTCCATAAACACATTTGTCCTCTCTTGACTTTCTCACATATTCTTAAGTTCATCCCTCAACTCTTGATTTTCAGACAAAGAAGCTTTTGATTTTTTAGGGTTGGGAATATTGCCTATACAACGCACGCGTTCCCTCTTTTTAGGTCCTTTTACTTGGGAATAAACATCATCCTTCCAAGGCATATGACTTTGTGTCTTTTGGACCGATTGAGAAGATTCAGCATCATTATTATGTTTGTTTAGTTCTTCCTGAAATTTTATAATAAATGGGATAAGACAAAATACAACATGAGAATAAATAAATAAGAACACCAATACTTGTCAAACATCAAACAAAAACCAAGTAAAACTTTGAGTTTTTGTCCTATAAATATTTGATATATAATACATAATAGATTCAAACACAGATACACACCTAAATGAAATAAAGTAAATAATTTTACGAATACATTTGATAAATAGATTCAAGCATAGACACATACTAAATTAATATCTTCCAATTTCAAAAATAATTTTAAAATATTAATATTAAAATTTAGATTGATATTATGGTGCTACAAAATAAATAAAAAATGTCCAAAATACATATACAAAATATGCATGTCCAAGTCAGATATGAAACAAACAAGGAGATAAGACATTATCTAATCCCATAAAATGAAATGAAATCAAATCATGTCACGTTGGAGTAACATATATATGACCATCCTAATGTCAAATTGTTAAAGAAATGGCAACAACTACTATCCCTCAATTCAAAAGTCACAAAATTAATACATATATATCTTGTAGCCATCACATTTAAATTTAATTCCAGTAATTTCACACATCAATTCAATACTAGTCACAAAATCAAAAAGGAATGAATGAAAGAAAAGCTTACAATCAATCTTGGAGCCTTTTAATTAACAACTGAACCATCTTTACGAGTACGAGTATCAATGTAAATCTCTTTATGTGTGGGCGACACTCCTTTGACCCTTTTTTATTCTAATACCAAACAAACAATTTATAATTAATTTGTTTTATAAATATAATTTACTCAATTAAAAGTTTAAATATTAACAAACCTTTTCATTGATCAATTTTCGGAGACTTTTTGTACCCATACAATGAATATCTTCATATATAGCACAATTCTGACTATTAATTTTACTTACTTTATACAACAGATACAACATAACGTTAGTTGAAAGAAGAAACCAAGTTCAAATAAATTATAATATGACAGAATCTCTTTTCAATGTCACTTACTTATGCTTCTTCAGAAAAACAATGATGAACAAATTCTCGATATTGATCTCAACGATCTGGTATAAAGGATGCAACTTGTTCTTCCATTTTACTTGGATCAAATGCCTTTGATTTTAAATCACACTTCCATTGTCTTGACTTAATATTCATCTCAAATTTCAACATTTGTCTTGTAGTGTCATTCATAGGAGGAATGAACTCAAATATGGCCTAAACAAAAAGAGATGTGTTAAGTAAATAAAAATTAATGATTAAGAAAATTTTGGTTCATCATGATTTAAATATAAAGTTGCATATATAACACCTCTATTTGTGCCAACATTTCATCTTTTTCCTTGTCCGACATATCTTTCCAAGATTTGTATTTAATGGAAGCATATTATTTCCTTCGAACCAAACTCCCTATGAAACTATGGGTTGATCATACTTCTCCAATTTAAAAATTATGCAACTCTTGGTGTCCATTTCCTATACATCTAACATTCTTGTTGGGCCTCTTTATTTTTTTAGGTTGAACATCTACAAGTAAAACATAAGACATTAAAATATAATTCAAATCTCTATTAAATTGTACGTCTTCTGTTTCTACATAAGAACATCTATATATAATTTAAAACTTTATTAATCTGTAGGTTTTCCTCTGCTTCTAAATCAAAAGGAATAGAATAAGAATCTTCAGACTCATGTATGCCAACTTCCACATGATTTGGATTGGGCCTTGTTTCTTCAGCATTACTTCCTTGGGCATGAGATGAGTTTGGATGAGTTTCTTCAGCATTAATACCTTGGGCATGAGATACGGTTGTATGAGTTTCTTCAACATTAATTCCTTGGCCATGAGATGAGGTTGGATGAGTTTCTTCAGCATTACTTCCTTGGCATGAGGTGAGGTTTGAGTCTTTTGACATACGACTACCAATATTCAATTTTCTCTTCCTTCCCATTGTTGTAATACATTCAATTAAAAAGGTAACCAGCAACAATATAGAATCAAAATATAATAATAATAACAAGCTAACAAGCTAACATGTCAAGAAGCAAGAATATATAATCAAAATATAATAATATAGAATTAAAATACAAACGGAGTGAGAAAATATAAAATCAAAGCATTTAAATAATAAGTCAAGTACAATTGCATACAAAAGGTATGATAAAACCTTCAAAATTAAAACATATTTTTCCAATCTTCCTCTTCTTGCTTAATCTGATCATTAACATTAACTTCAAAGAAATCATTTTTCATCAACTGAAACCGTAATTAAAGCATCAACATTTTGATTAGCTCCGCTTGTGTTGTGTATTGGTTACTCATTAATTTCTTCATCCTCATTATAATCTTCATCACCCATATCATACACATCTCTCACCTTTGCATCTAGAGCAACACACCAATCCTTGTTTCTCTCATCATATACATAAAACACCTTTTAGGCTTGTGATGCAAAAACAAACGGTCATCCCAAAGATTTTTTCCAGTGTGTTTCAAAAATTTGAAATTCACAAGTGTCATCCCATACTTATCTTTCTTGATGCCTTTCTTAATGTCAATCTAATCATGTTTGAATAGCACAACTTTGTACTTTCCAGAATAATCCAATTGTATCATATCAGTTATTTCTCCATAGTAATTAATTTCATCGTTTGAGGTTTTTGTCCTTACAACTACTCCTGAATTTTGTGTCTTCAGGTATCTCTCTTTTTTCCTAGTGTGAAACCTAAAACCATAAATGGTGTAACCAATGTGTCTCCTTACTACCTCAATTGGTCCACACGCTAGCCATCTAAGTTCATAAGTAATTTCTTGGATCCTTTGTTCATCCAAGTGATGAATCTATAATAATTCAATAAAAATAGTTAGCTACACGAAATAAGCAACAACTAAATCTTAAAGATTTCATTTCTTTCGCAATTACCCTATTTCGAAACCAATCACTAAATCTTTTGCTATGTTGTTTATCGACTTCAAGTTGTGACAGTTGATGCGGCTGGGCCTGTCTCTTAAGTAGTCCAATATGTTCTCTAAAATTAAGGATAACATGATTAGAAGTCCAATATGTTCTCTAAAACAATGGACACACAATTGTAAAAGTGAAATATGAGAAATAATATATTTGTGAGCTTACATTAACTCTTTTTCATCAAGCTTCCTTGTTTTCACTCTCTTGCGCTTCCCCAACTGGAAATTTTGTTGTTTTTTTTCCTTCATAGTGGTCTTCCAACAAGATGTAGAAATGCCGCAACATCTTTCAATGTAGAATCATCATCATTTCTCAGGTCTATTAAACCTAGTTTCCACCCCAGATAGATATTGTGAACAAAAGGTCAACCATTCATTGGCCAAAACACCTTCTGCAATTGATCCTTCTGAATATGCTCTATTGCGTACAAATGATTTAAGAGTGAGCAAAAACCTAACATTAAACTTTATTTTAAAATCAATAATAACATATTTAAAAGATTTAACTAAAATTACGTGTTAAAATGAATAAAACATACCTCTCAATAGGATACATCCATCGATATTGTACTGGTCCAACAACTTTGGCTTCATATGCCAAATGAATTACCAAATGCATAATAATGGTAAAAAAACGATGGAAGAAAGATTATTTCTAGTTGACAAAGTGTTAAATCTATTTGAGACTCTAATTGTGCAAGAAAATCCATATTAAGTACCTTAGAGCATATTTGCTTGAAGAAATTACAAAGGTCGATAATAATTGAAGTGACTTTATCCGGTAATGGACCCCTTAATGCAACTGGAAGAAGATGTTGGAATATAACATGACAACCATAACTTTTTAAGTCGAATATATCTCTTTGCTTAAGATGCATACAACGTGAGATATTTGATGAGAATTCATCTGAGGCTTTTACATTCTCGAGGACACTAGCATCTTTATCTTTTTTAGTCATTTGATAACAGGCTTTGGGCAAAAGCATTGTACTACTATTGAGACTTGGTTGTGGATGATGCGTACTTCTTATGCCCATATCTACAAAGGCAGTGCATGCCTTATCATTATCTTTGGATTGTTTAACAATGTACCAATGATATTATCACAAACATTTTTTTTCAATATGCATCACATCTAGATTGTGACCCAATACATTGTATTCCCAATAAGGAAAATCAAAGAAAATACTCTTCTTTTTCCAAGGTTGAGCCCTGTTCTCTAGACCCTCGTCTCCAATTTCATATATTTGCCTTGAATTTTGAATCTCATCATATATTTTAGGAGGACCCCTTGACTCCCTTGTTCCATCAAAATCCCTAGTATTCAATCTTCACTTGTGGTTAAGCGTTAACCAACGCCGATGACACATGTAGAAAAATTGTCCACCATGTTTTAACCATCGCGAAGAAGTTTCAATACCACAACATGGACAAGAATATTGACCTTTAGTACTCCATCCAAATAAGTTTGCATATGCTGGAAAGTCATTAATAGTCCATATTATAGCAGCATGGAGTTGGAATGTCTCTTTCTTGTAGGAATCATATGTTTCTATGTCATCAAACCATAACTCTTGCAGCTTTTGTACTAATGGTTGTAGATAAACATCAATATTATTTCCAGGACCTTAAGGGCCTGGAATTAGTAGCGATAACATGAAGAATGATTGTTTCATGCACATCCAACAAGGAAGATTATAGGGAATTAGTATCACATGCTAGGTGCTATGGGTTATACTCATTGTCTTAAAAGCATAAAGCCATTTGAAGCAACCCCTAGTCGAACATTACGTTCATCTGAAGAAAATGTTGGATATCGAGAGTCAGGATCTTTCCAAGAAAATGAGTCAGTCGGATGCCTAAGAGACCTATCATTCACTCTTCCATCATGATGCCATCTCATTAATTCAGAAACTTTATATGACATGAACAACCTTTGTAGCCTTGGTTTCAAAGGAAACCAACGAAAGATCTTTGCAGGTAAGTTCTTACGCTTTTCAAAGGAAACCAACGAAAAATCCCTCCACCATGATTCCTCGAGTCTCCGCCACTCAAATCATCCGGTGTAGTTATTTAAATAGGGGCAACTGTAATACCCCAAATTTTACCCTTTCTTTTTTATTTTTATTTTAAATTCTTATTAACCTAATAAATTAACCTTTTTTTTAGATCTTGTTTTTTAACTAATAATAATTTAATTAATTTTTTTTTATAACTTTACTAATGTTTTTTATTAACTTTTTTTTCTTTTTTCTATTTAGTTTATTTATTTAAATCATTTTAAGCTCTTCTTACTAACTTTTACGATTTAAATTAAAATTAAATTTTTTTTTTCTTCTTTTCTTCAAGAGTAAATTTTTTATAACCTTTTTTAATTAATTTCTAACACATTTTTTTAATCAAATTCTATTACCTTTTTAAAATTAAATCTTTTTTCTAACTTTTTTTTAAAAGATAAATCCTTTTTCTAACCCTTTTTTAAAGTTAAATCTATTTCTAACTTTTTTAAAGTTAAATTTTTTTTTCTAATTTTTTTTAAAAAAAATCAAATCTTTTTTCTAACTTTTTTAAAGTTAAATATTTTTTTCTAACTTCTTTTTAAAATTAAATCTTTTTTCTAACTCCTTTTTAAAGTTAAATTTTTTTTCTAACTTTTTTAAAGTTAAATATTTTTTTCTAACTTCTTTTTTTTTAAATCTTTTTTCTAACTCCTCTTTAAAGTTAAATCTTTTTTCTAACTTTTTAAAAGCTAAATCTTTTTTTTTCTAACTTTTTTAAAGTTAAATATTTTTTTTCTAACTTCTTTTTAAAGTTAAATCTTTTTTCTAACTTTTATAAAGTTAAATCTTTTTTTCTAACTTTTTTTAAAAAAATTAAATCTTTTTTTCTCTAACTTCCTTTTAAAATTAAATCTTTTTTTTTCTCTAACTTCTTTTTAAAATTAAATCTTTTTTTCTAACTATTTTAAAAAATTAAATCTAACCTTTTTTTTTATAAATTAAATCTATCCTTTTTTTTTTTTAAATTAAATCTAAATCTTTTTTGACACCATCCTTTTTCAAATTAAAATTCTAAATTCCTTTTAAAATTAAATTCTAACCGTTTTTAAAATAATTCTAACACTTTTTTAAATCAACATTCAAATGTTTTTTATTTTAAAATTCTAACTCATTTTTTTTAAACTTAAAACTCTAATTTTTATTTAACTTGAAACTCTAACTTTCTTTGCTAACTTTTTAAATTTAAATCCAACACTTTTTTAATCAAATCCAATCCCAATGAATTCCAGATGGAGCAAAATCAAATCAATCAGATCATATCATCATCATAAGAAAATCAGATCTAAATATCAACATCACCATCATTGAATCAAATCTGAAATCATCATAAAAATTCATTCAAATCAAATCATAGATTGAAAAAGATTGAGATATTCAAATCAAATCTGAGATTGAAAAAGATTTAAAAATCAAGTATAAAAGGACCCTCAGAAGCAACAAAACGGGGGGATCGACAAACATCAAAAACTCTTACCGTCTTCATCAAAAGTAACTAACTCTTCTTTTTTTAATTTCTAATCTTTTTATATCTTTTTTCAAAATTTCTACCATTTTTTCTTAATTAAAATTCTAACATTCTAACTCTTTTTAAATTAAAACTCTAACTGTTCTTAGTTAATATTTCTTTTTTTTTAATATAAAAATTCATAACTTTTATGTTAAAATTTCAAGAAACTTTTTTTTAAAATTCAAAGTTCTAACTCACTTTTTAACTTTTAATGCTAACTCATTTTTTATTAAAATTCTAACCTTTTCTCTTTTATTTTCAAACTTTTATTTTTATTTTCTAACCTTTTTTTTAAAAACCAAATTTCGAAGTTCTAATTTTTTTGCTAACTTTTAATTCTAACTTTTAATCTATTTTCTTTTTCTTAATCACATTAAAAACTCTAACTTTTCTAAATTTCACCCAAAAAAAACCTAA